CTTGGAGCAAGTGAGTCCATCAGTGGTAAATCTGCACATGGGCTCTTTAAGAGGAATGCTCAGTACTCCTGCAGCCCTCCATCTCAGTCACAATCTTCTCTGGTTTTCACACCACAAATTATGGGGACTTCTCTTCCTAGCACTAGAACCCTGGGCTGGGGTGCCCAGTGTGAGGCTGGGTCTTCAGGGGGGACCTCTGCCTCTGAGATATTTTCTCCAGTTCTCAACTGTTACGTGCAGGTGTGAGACTAGCCTGTTCCATGTCTCTGCCCCTCCTCCCAGTCTCAAGGTGGCCTCGTCTGTGTGTCCTGAATTGTAGGACTTCTGTTCAGCTAGACTTAGGGCGACTCCCAATGATGGCTGTTCTGTAGTTGTAATTTTGCTGTGATACAAATGTCTATTCTTACCAACTGGGAATCGCAACTGTGCTACGTAAAGGCAGACAGTTGGGTCCCGGGTCCTCTGGGGTCTTCCGGCTCTCCGGTGCTTTGTTTCCCCATGAGCTCTGTCCTTTCTGGGTCTGTTCTCTTCTGTGCCAGTTGTAGTTTCGGGAAAATTACTTGGAAAATAATACCCAGTAGCAGTGCTTCCAGGTAAGCATCCGCATCTCTGTCATGTGCTCGAGCAGCCTTGGGGAAACAGACTCTCCAGCAACCTCCAAGAACTTTCGTGTGAATTCCCCATTCCGGCTCCAGTAGTAATAGTGACAGGGGGTGTCTCAGACTTGGAGTCGTGCTTCACCAAGCACTCTTAATTAAGTGAGCACTTTCACCGAAGTGTAACAGTCATACAGAAAAGCACACAAGTCATAGATATACAACTTGATAAATTTTTACAAAAGTGAACCCACCCCTGTAACCGCACTCAGATCAAGAAGTAGAACATTAATGGCACTAGCAACCTCATTGGGTTCCTTTCCAGCAGCACGAACCACCGTTCTGTCTATTGTCACCTAGGCCGGTTTTGCCCGCGTTTCAGCTCTGTGTCAGTGGGATCCTGTGGACTTTCTTCTGTGTCTGCTTATTTTGCTCAACATTATGTCTGAGGCCCAAACTCATTGTTGCGATAGTTGTTTTTTTTGTTTGTTTCTCATTGTGGTATAATATTTCATTATATAATAATATACGATGGCTTATTTGGTGGACATTTGGGTTTTTCCATTTTGGGGGCATTACCCAGAATGCTGCTATGTGTGTATTTCTGCCCCGAAGCCAGCTTGCTGGATCATAAGATAGGCACCTGACCGTCTGCGTTAGATATTGCCAGGTAGTTGTCCAAAGTGTTTGTATTTATTACTCTCCCACTGGCAATTGTGAGAGTTCCGGTTATTCCACATCATTCTCCATTTTATTCACTTTTGTGTGTTTTCCATTTCGTTCATTTTGTACGTATGTAATAATACTTTGATGTGGTTTTCATTTGTATTTCTCTGCTGACTGATGGTGAGTACCTTTTCATGTGTCTGTTGACCATTTGGATATAGCTTTCAAGTCTATTTTTTTAAATTGAGCATTCTGTCTTTTTTGATTTTATATGCATTCTTTATATTGGATACAAGCCCTTTATCAGAAATATATTTTGCAAATAGAGTCTTCCAATATGGCTAGCCTTTTGGTGTCTGAGTGGCATTTTTAGATTAAAAAAGTTCTTAATTTTTATGATGTGTGATTTATCAGTCTCTTTTATGGTTAGTGCTTTTTGCATCTGTGGAAGAAAGCCATATAATCCTGCTAGAAAGTATTCACGAATTCGGATGCCTCAGAAGCCCTCTGAGAGCCTTATTATTACCTCTGAAGGCCTACTGGGGGCCCAGCAGTGTTCCAGAGCTTTCCCCTACTAACTGTATTTGAGCCAGATGGCAGCTCAGGGCTTCCAGGTCGTCACGAGAGCAGACCTCTGAGGGGCTGTAACATTAGGGCTTTGCAGACCTCAGTGGCCTGCAGCAGCATGAGAGAATTAGAGCTGTGTCCCCGGGTCTCTTGAAATGAGGCTCAGGGCTCGCCAATGGACAGATCCTTGGTGAGGCCAAAAGGATTTATACAGACTTGGGGTCATCTGTGGGTGCAAATTTGCTCAGACTGTCCTTTCTTAACCTGTAGCTATGAGAGAATAGAAAGTAGAATATTCTCCTGTGTGTAATACAGATGGGTTTGGTATCACAAACCAGCAATGACTTTGATGGAAATATGGTCCTGTTAGCTACGGAACTTCTCAAGGGTACAGTCCAGCAGTTAGCTCTCAGCTTTTAACTGGTTTAAAGCCAATAGCTGCAAAATGTCTTTTCCAATTATTTTTTATGAATAATGAAGAATTCAAGAGGAAGTCACGTTGCTCAAAGCTAGAGGTAATTTTCCGAGTTTTTTTTATTGTTAGGAAGCAAGGTGTCGAATCACATAACTGATATTATTTTCCTCTGTGAGTTGAGCTCAGGCCTGTGTACAGGATTTCATGGAATAAATTTTATATGCTGATTTTCACTCCGATTGCATCTTAATCTCTCCACCTTTATTTCCCCTTTCTCTCATTTTTCTAATCAGATTTTAAATTTTGGTCATCCCGCATTTATGCAAAACACTTTCAATTAATTCTGGGATAAGATATGACCTGAAATAAATGTTCGGAGTACTTGCTCTTTTTCGGAGTTTTAAAGAATATCTTCTGAGGTTAACATGATGATGGCCATTTGGCAAATGTGGAAGATGACTTCCTAAATCCTAAGCATTGATGGGTGACTTGGCAGAGACGGATTTGCAGTTCAGCCTCAGCATCTAGCCCTTTGCCCTGGGTTCGTAGGAGTGGGAGGAAGGGGAGGAGAGAGTCCAATGTTTTGCATCTTTTCGGTCTTTAGAAAGAAGACTTCAACAGGACAAGGCTGCAGACATGGGAGCTTAGAAGAAAGTGGATCGATGTCTGATTATTTTATAAGGAAACCAGAAGCACTCTCGGTGGCTGAGCAAGCTCGAGTTTCATACCTGTGCTCATCTAGTTTTGTCCGTTCTTACGCTGCAAAGCAGCTCTTTGCTTTTTATTTATTTATTCAAACAGTGGAACCCATCATTTTTTTCTCAGTGCGTTTGTCCACATCATCAAAGAATTGCACTGAGAACCCTCGGATGCTTAATAAATATTAGTTGTATTTTAAATTTTAAAATTGTACTAGTTCTCCTTAAGAGAAATGTCACCAAAGTACATCAGGCTTAATGTAATGTTTCCTGGAGAAACTTCATGCGGAAACCATACTGAGGAATATTCGTGTCTTCACAGAGCTGACCTGAAGGGGAGGGAGCAGCAGAGTCTGACTTGCGTTCTGTTTTGAAACTGGAAACAGCCTCATCTGTGTAGCTTTTCCTGCTGTTCGGAAGACAAACGCTGTCTGCGAGGCTTTGGCCCTTGAGCACACACCAGGCACAAAACAGGTCCTCAGGAGGCAGTGAGTTTGTTTACCTGCGCCAGGACCTGGGTCTGGCACCGTCTGCACTGCTCCCCAGGCTCCCAGGCCAGAGGCGTCTGCACTGATGCTTAGGCCTGACCGTGCATCATGCAGCTTCGCTCCTGTGGGTCATTTAGTCCTTTGCTTCCTGTTCATGTGCAGAGACACCCTTAAAAGGGGTCCGGTGCGGTCTTGTCTGTCTCATTATGAAGGAATTTTTAAAGCCTTCCCTGAGAAGCCTCTGAAAAACACACACATATATTGCACCTTTAATATCCTCTTGGTTTTTAAAAATTACCTCAATAACCCGCACTTGTTAGAACACGTCAGGCAACTCAGAGGAATATGAAGTAAAATTTAGCCTCTTGCGCCCCACCTTTCGCCTGCACAGAACCGGTGTTGACACTTCGATGTGCATCTCTCTGTTTTTTCTAAATATACAGAAACTTTTATATAAGGTTGCTTGGCAGGGGCAGGTCGTGGGTGGTAGTGTTTGTTTTCAAAAGAATAGAATTGTATTAAACATACTATTCTGCTACTTTGTTTTTTTCTCACTTGATAGCGAATTCTGGACATCTTTCCAAATGAAAATACATTTTAGTGGAGGGGAAGGAATCCGAAAGCGTCTGACGTGGGGCAGAGCGCTGCTGCTTGAGGAGAGGAGGAGAAAGGCTGGGGAGCACTGCCAGCTCGGGGTGCTGCCCCCCCCACCCCCCGAGTGATGCTGTGGTAGAGGCCGCCTCGCTCCCGTCTCCAGCACCCCGCTTTAACTGCTGTGAGGGGGCAGTGCGTTTTCAGTTTTCACTTTCATATGTTAACGTTCTGTAATGAAATAGCGGGTATGTAGGCTATGCTGTTGCTATAAACATTCGATAATCAGGGCAATTTGCTTTGCACTTTAGTTAATTAGGTAATTTCAAGGATTAAAGGGTATTTCTTCCTAACGACTTGCACTTTCACGTTTGGAAATAGGGATTTGGGGCTGAGCCAGTGTTACTATAAAATGTTTTTGTTGCTCTTGCCTCTCTGTGCTATTTTGTGTTGAATTTACTTAAGGCCCGAAGTTCAGCACGACAGGGATGAGGTGGGCCCGGGCTGGGGAATGGTGGTGTCTCCTAGGGCAGAGCACAGCGGCAGGGCGTGGTGTCCTGTATCTCCTGCCCAGTGTCTGGTTCCCCAGGGCCCTGGCTGGTACCCTAACTCACCTTGAGGAAGAAACTCAACTTCTCTTTAATGACAGCGAAGTGCAACTGCCTGGGCTGTTTTGCTCCGAGTTCAGACAGGCAGACTCATCCCCTGTTGGCAGAGGACTAAGGACAAAGTCTTTCTCATTTGTCACAGACTTCTTTGCTGCCTGGGCCAACAAACCTATGTCTTTTCCCATCTTAGGGTAGAGAGAAAGTCATTCTTGTTTTACAAGGGGAATTTGAAGTTCAGTATGTAGAAGTACCTTGACGTCTTCCTCTGGAAAGCTCAGCAGAAACACATTATCTCTAATGGTTCTGAACAGGACTCGTGTAGGAGCTGTCAGCACTGATGGATGTGTTTTCCTTCTGACCTCTCTTCTCAGAACGCACACGGCAGTTAAAATCGCTCCACGGTACAGCGCACCTGTAATCCACGTCCTGGACGCCTCGAAGAGCGTGGTGGTGGTAAGTGTGGAGCCTTGCCACCTAACTCAGGGTGTCGCAAAACGAGCGAGAGCGTTGAGAGTCAAGGGTATTGCCCAGCATTTACTTATTTGTGTCTAATTCTACTAAAAAAATGTGAAAGAATAGCCTGTAGCTCGTGATGGTGTCGCTGCTGTTGTCTGCTTTGCTGGAAGGAGGGCAGTGGGCGCCCTGGGCTCCCAGAGGCCACTCCTGAACTGGCAGCGGGAACGCCGGTCTGAGTGAGGGGAACCGTGGGTCCAAGAGACCTTTGACCTCGACACCAGCCTAGAGAGATCTCAGCCATTTAGAAATATTTACAAACACGGAATACATTTCTTAATCCATGCCTGAGCTAAAGGAATGTAGAATTTTTTAAATGCCCTATTTCCAGATCGAAAAACATTTAACCTGCTGCTGTGACCATGAAAAATAAAAAGGAAAAGCAAAGCTGTGCGCTGTCCCCGTGGTCGGCATGAAGACGCGTGATGGGCTCTGACCTGAGTGGCAGGCTCACATGGCGTAGCCCACGTAACTGGCCACAAACTCGTTCCATCAACAAGTCACACTGGGCAGAGGGGGGCTCGTCACGGCGGCTCTGGGAAAGCGGCTCCGTGCGGGTGTGGCGGTGCCAACAGACTGTCTACCCAGCGTCCCTGTGCCAGGTTGTGTTACCTTCCTTGGGTGTTGGGATTTTGCTTTCTCAGAGTTTAAATCCAGCAAGATGCATGCATGTCCTTTGGGGAGCATGGAGGCAGGCCCGCCCTTCTTGTTGTTGGACTCTGCTGGGGTGGGGACCCCACTGAAGTGAGGCCCATGTGAGGCAATTTTTAGCTTGCCACCATGGCCTTTTCTGATTATGTTCCTTAATAATGATTTGGTTTTATACTACGTCTCGCGTGATGGGAATGTTAGAGATACTTAGAGAATTCATATAGAATTACGGACATTTAAAGCTGGTCAGCACTCTGGCCTCCGGCCGGTCTCACTTCCTTCATTTCAAATGGTGCCGTCGAACTTGCCGCTTTTTTGTGTGTTAGGAAGTCCCGCGGGAGGACGCAGAGCCAGGCGGCGCTGTGCTGTGATCGGTAGCAGCCCTTTCTCTTTTCTTTGTGGTTCTGCTTTGAGCTTTGGCGGCGAGCTCTTCTACCAGCTTAATCGTCACGGTCTCCCACGGCAGTCAGCCGATGCCAGTTTGACAGCCCACAGAGTAGCCTCCTGTGTCCCACATGATCCTTGTCCTTTCTTGTTTGAGCAGAAGCTCACAGTTAACCGCGAAGATCAGCCTCATTCCTTCAGCAGACAGCTAGGTAGGTGGGTGCACCGTGCAGGTGCCAGGCACTGAGCTAGAGACAGGGACACGACCCCTGCCTCAGAGGGCTTGTCTTCTAGGCAGAGAAGTTGACCCACAGACAGATACCAAGTCTATGGTCAGTGCAGTGATGGAGAAACGAACAGTGTCCTTGAAACGCTGATGAGAGGTGCCCAACCAGTGCGTATGATTTGCTAGAAGGACTCACAGAATTCAGAATACTGTTATGCTCACAACCCGGCTTTATTACTGCAACAGGATAGAGATTAAAATCAGCCAGGCAAAGATGCACAGAGCGGAACAGGGAAGAGCAGGTGTGAGCTTCCAGGTGTGCACTCCCTGTGCAGTCCCACGGACGGCGTCCGGCTCTGCCATGTTGGTATGTGACAGCATGCACAGGCAGTGCCAGCCAGGGAGGCTCACCTGAGCCGTGGTATCCGGCTTTCACTGGGATCATGCCCACGTGACTGATGTTGGTTACCCAGTCTTCGACACCTTCAGAGCTGAGACAGGTACAGCGTGAGCCAAGTCCCCCCAAACGTCACTTCGTGCTAGCATAAACCGGTCGTTTCGCCAGCATAAACCGTCTGGTGCGGCCCAAGGCCCCAGGTAGGTGGAGACACTTATCAGGTGGGATGTTCCAAGGGCCATCTCCCAGGCCTGATGAGTTAACCCTTTCTGGCACAGGGAGGAGTTATCGAAGTCAGTGAAGGGAGAGGAGGTGACGTGAACACAAGAAAGCTGCCGGTCACCAGAACTGACCAGTATTGCACGTTTTATCTTTTTTTTTCACTGCTCTGTGCTTATGGACCTTGGCTCTTGCGTTTCCAGTGTTCTCAGCTATTAGATGAGAATCTGAAGGATGAGTACTTTGAGGAGATCATGGAAGAGTATGAAGACATTAGACAGGACCATTACGAGTCTCTCAAGGTAAGTGACAAAAGCAGGTCAGGCCTCGCTAAGGGTAATAAAACCATCCTATGTTTTTTAATGGACCTTCACTGTTTTGAGGGAGTGAAGGTTTAGGATCATTCTAGAGAAGTCTTATTTTCTGGATAAGATCAGAGTTCTTCGGTGTCTGAGTTCCCGATAATGTTTGGTTATATTAAAATTAATTTTGTTTATTCTTCCCAATGTTTGTTGGGTCGTCCGCAGTGGGTGTTGGGTGCTGCGCTGGTAACCGAGTCACAGGGGTGAATAACACCGAGCTCATACCCAGCGGGGAGATGGGAACCGCGACAGTGTGCTGGGGGCACGCGCTCCACGGGCCCTGTCCTTGAGGAAACAGTGGAAGAAAACAAAGACGTCAGGACACTGTGAACCCCGACTCCCCCTCCCCACCCCCGACTGCCCAGCGCTGACTGCAGTGCGTCTTCCCTCCGCGCCCTGGAGAGGAGCTTCAGGGGCCCGGGAGACTGGACGTAATCACTCCTTAGACGCCGTCGGGGTCCTTCCTGGTTATCTGCGTGCCGGGCTTTGTGTGGGGGGTGCCTTTTGGGGGTGGCCAAGCAGGTGGAATGAGGTAACAAGCATCGTGAAGAAAGCAGGTGCTTCAGGGTGTCGGCCGGCCCTGGGTAGCTCCGCCTTCGGGTCCTCGGGGCAGTGGACAGCAGGCCAGTCCGCCTGGCTTCGGCTGTTCTAAGAGCACAGGCCTCGCAGTTCAGGCTGTAGGTTGGTCTCATAGTTACGTACCAGTATTTAGTGAATATGCGTTGAACCTTTACTGTCTAAATGTTCTGGTGCTGATGTGAGGCCATATTGGATGGAAAAGGGAGAGCTTTTTAGAATACAAATTTTTATTAATAAAAGAAGTCGTTTTCTTGCAAAATTTATATGCTAGCATTCTTGAACATATTTTCATAGTAGCAGCTGAAGACCTGAGAGTGTCTGACTGAATAACTTCTTTTCTTCATAGGAGAGAAGATACTTAACCTTAAGTCAAGCCAGAAAAAATGGTTTCCAGATCGACTGGCTGTCGGAGCCTCCCCCAGGTCCGTTTGCTGTCGGGCAGGGAAAGGCTGCCAGTGGGGACTGTGGGCTGCAGGGCGTCTGCACTCACTTGGCAGCTGGAGACGCTGGACTGTGTCTAATGACGATGATTAGTGACCATGCTGATCGAAAGGAAAAGTAAACAGGTGCCATTTAAGGAGAACCAGACACTGTCTTGAGATTGACCCGGAGCAGCTCTGAGTCCTTGACACGACGCGTGACAAATGTGCTAGTGTCCCCACTTTCAGCCGAGGACACTGAGTTTGGGGTGATCACTTGGAAGGCTGGTAGGATTCTGTCTCTGACTTAAACCCGTACGCTTTCCTCTGTGCTGTGCTTTGGTTCGAAGCGAGCTCTGGAGACCTGCCTGGGTGGCTCTGTCACTGAGTTGGCCTGGGTCCCAGGCAGGCCCCAGCGCAGACGTGGAACGTCTGAAACCGAAAACGGCCTCGCGTTGAACAGGCCTTTAAAACATCTTGGCAGAGCAGATCTCCCGTTTCTTGTTCTCTCATTCTCTCTTGACGCTTCTCTCTCTCAATTTCTTTTATTTGGTTTCCTTTCCTCCCTTTTTTATTTCTAGCCCCCTTCCTTACCTTAAGTAGGTGTTCACAAGGGAATAAAATGTGGTAGGTGTTTTGACAGGCTCAGAGAAGCATGAGATACGAATGCAAAACCGAGACAGGTGAACGGGGTTATGATAATTAAATCCACATTTCCAAGGTAACGTCTCAAACCAGCATTCATTGCTCACGCACTGTGTGTTCTGCACACGCCCAGCAGAGCTGGGAGATTAAGTCGGAGGTGCTGGGCCGAGTGTGGTTCAGGCAGAAGGGTGCGCATGGGGTCGGAGGCCTGTTTCTGGTCCCGGCTCGGCTCCTGGCTCTGCGTCATGGAGGGACCTAGAGTGTCTTAACTGCCACGTTTGACAGTCTCTGACGTGTAGGAAGGGGGTTCTTTACGGAAGAGTCGGGAGGATGGGCCTTTGAAAACCATAAATCACCAAACGGTCCAAACTGTCATTTCCTCTTTACCTTTCCCTGTGAAACTGGAAAACTGTCAGAAGGGGCCTTTTAAGTCAGATATCCAGAACGCATCTCGGTGGAAATAGTCCTCTGAAGGCCCACGGCTCCAGGCAGCGATGGACGCTTTTCCAGGGGCCTTTTTACCAGCAGGGCGGGGCCTCTGCCAAGCTCTGGACCCACTGCCTGAGGAGCATCGGGGCCCCGAGCTGCGGCCCGCAGATGTGTTTTAGAGCAGTGCCTTTCCAGCTCCAGGGGCTGGCGCTCCCATAAGCATCCAGTGCCTGATGATCTGAGGTGGAGCTGAGGCGGTGATTGCTGGGGAGTGGCTGCAAATACAGATGAAGCTTCGCTCCTGATGTGCGGGCCAGGTTCTAACAGGCCATGGATCAGTACTGGGTCGCAGCCCGGGGGT